AAAGATGAAGCCTCCCACGCCAGACTGGAAGAGGATGCTTTAAAGAAGATGTTTTAAACAGATGGCACAGGAGTTTTAAAGCCATAATCCCATGCTCCCTGAATTCAAGTAATCTTTGCTCAAGAGTTCCCCCAGCTTTGTCTTGTCCTTAAGGAATCATGTAAAATATGATATGATTTCATATTATTTCCAGTAAAATCTCCTTAGACAGGATTAAGTAATCATTATCCCCCTGCAGAGCTCTTTAGAAGCTTTCCATTGGCTTCTTGCTCAAAGTTAATTGCAGAGGCAGGAAGAGTTAGCTACTAACGTAATATATAGAACAAATCTTCCCCTTCCTATACTGCTTCTTCTGGAGTTTAAGTACACACAGATCTGTCCCATGTTTGTCTGCTCCGATAAGCGATGGCTTTAAACCCAGCAAGGACTGCATATGGTCACTCATACCCCGTTGTGGTCAGCAGGTATCATTTCTGTACACAGCTTTTTAAAGCAAACACATACATAAAAAGGAACCCAGAGCACCTCCCAAGGCTTCCAGCACAGCTGCAACGAGGAAAGCATCTCTCTAAAAGAGAAAACTCTGTTGGCCCATATTAAGATAGCCTTTTTCCCCAGGGAAATCCCCGGTGGCAAAGACTGTTATCAGCAACTGTTAACATACGAGCTGGGCTCTGGGATGGCCAAGCAGCCTGCGCTCTCCCACCGCCTGCTCCCAGGCATTGCCACACTGCCAACTATAGGGGTGCTTCTTAAATAAGCAAGCCCAGCTTAATTCATTTACAGGATCAAAAGGTGCCGTGTAAGAAAAGCCACCGCAGTGCATGTTGAAAGGAGGCATGGTTCAGAGGCAGAAGGTCGTTCAGGAGGAGTAAGGCTCGGTGGGGTGGCTGTCAGGCATGCGAGGACCAGAGCATCCTCTAAGCTCCCAGCTGCTGAAGAGAGGGAAGCCAGGCGGAAGCAGAGGACACCCATCTGCCCCATGTACATCAGGCCTGGGGCTGGCAGTCATTCCCTGCCTGTGGTGAGCAGGACCTACACCACCTGGACACAACCATCAGGAGCAGGAACTGGGGAGTGCTGGGCGAAGTCGCTCTCTTGGCTGAGTCCCAGCCCTGCCGCTGACTTCACAAGGCACATTAGTAACTGAAAACAGCCACAGCAAACAAACTGCTTGCTTTTATCCTCTCCCCACCCCCTGCAACAAGAAGCAGATGAAGGCCACTTGCACACAGAACCCCCTTGCTGCTTAGCTTTCCAATGCGTTGCTTTTACAGCTGTGTCATGCACATATGAAAGCCCATATACAGCTTATTTCACAGTATTGCATCTGTGTTATGCCTGACCTCAGATTCTGGCTCAGGTCTGCTTTTCAGGTTTTACTGTGTTACAGATTTGTGTTTAGCAACATAGCACTGTGCTGGTTTTGGATGGGGTAGAGCTCATTTTCTTCATAGTAGTTGGTATGGGGCTGTGTTTTGGGTTTGTGCTGGGAACAGTGTTGATAACACAGGGATGCTTCAGTTCCTTCAGTGCTTACACAGAGCCAAGGCCTTTTCCACCTCTCACCCCACCAGCGAGTGGCTGGGGGTGCACATGAGGTTGGGGGGGACACAGGTGGGACAGCTGCCCCCACCTGACCACAGGGATGTTCCACACCATAAAGCATCATGTTCAGTATATAAAACCAGTGGAAAAAAGAAGGAAGAGTGGAATACTGGGAGTGATGGTGTTTGTGTTCCCAAGTCACTGTTAACCTGTGATCGAATCCCTGCTTTCCCGCAGATGGCTGAACCCCTCCTTGCCTGCCGATGGGCAGTGGGGAATGGATCCCTTGGTTTGCTTTGTTTATGTGTGTGTGTTTTGCTTTGCCTGTTAAACCATTTGATCCCGACCCACTTGTACCATTGGATTCTCACCCCCATCCCAAAGGAGTGAGCAAGCAGCTGAGGGGGCTGAGCTGAGCTGCTCAGCTCAAAGCAGAGACTCAGTACAATAACCTTTATCCCCATGCAGCAAGCTTCAAACACGTTACTCTGATAGAGGTGCTTGCCTGATGCTCTCATAGTGTTGCTTCTGTCATTCCCTGTCTTTACAGTCTTCAAGATATCAGGGGTAGTTTCCCAGGTGGCTTAAGCCACACTTGAAGCATCTGGTAACTTTATCTGGTCCAAGCTATTCTAGGATTGGAATAAGCACCCAAGTCCAAGCTGGGGAGGGGGGTTAAACCTTCACACTGGGGCAGCTGATGCCCAAAATAACAGCTTTGGAGTTGTCTGTGGGGTTTTTGTCCTGTTTAAGTTAAAGCGGGGGTAAATTTTGAACCCAACCACAATTCTTGAGTATGTTACATGTTTATTCTAGTGAGCAGCAGATGAAGCCAGGCAGAAATACAAACTACCTTGCACTCAATTCAGCTTCGTTAAAATGAAAGGATGGAGACGGAGGCTGGCAGGTGGGGACTTTCCCTTCCTCTTTGCCCCCTGTCCCACATGTTCGCTCTCTGCAGATGGAGGGCAGGGCAGGCATCCTTGTCCCCATCCTTCAGCCTCGCTGCATCCCCCCCCACCAATCCCATTGCTCCGGCCTGGAAGAGGGAGACCCGGGGCCGCTCTCGCCGGCGGCCGCGGTGCTGCGGCGCCACCTGCTGTTCATATTCGGGAGCGCAGCTGCTGCGCCCGCGGGTGGTTCCTCGGCGCGGGGGGGGCTCCAAGGAATGATGCCCTGGAGAGGCTGGAAGTGGTCCTCAGCCGGGAGGGCGGGAGTGGCCTGGAGGTCGCTACGTGGCTGAGCCATGTTTGCGGGAGCAGCATCCTTTGGGACGGGTGCGGTGAGGAGGCGCAAGTGTGGTGTGTTCCCAAAGGCAAAACCTCAGTGCCAGAGCAAACATCTGCGACACGGAGCAACCGTGGGGATTAAAATAGCCGAGATGATGAAATAACGCCTTTGACGCTATGCTATGGAGTCTGCTCTCGACCTCTAATGACAAGGAAGCAAGCTGTGCTCTCTGCATCCTTTGGAATATGGCTATCCAGCTTGCTTTTTTATCCTGACTTCCTTGTTTAAAAGCAGAAAGCTGCCTTCTTTTGCAGGGACTGAGAGGATGAAAAGTTAAACTACGTTGCTTCTACAAACCCATACAGACAAGAAACACTCAACACTGAGCCTTCCCTGCATGCAAAGTCTGTACAGTTTTGTTGGGAGGAAGGTGTTTTATGTTCAGTGCAGATATTCCCTTAGGGATGGATTTAGAGCTGCTTATGCCATAAGGTAAATAATAGAACAAAATGCTCCTAAAAAGGTCTGTCAGATCATTCTTTCCAGTAAGCCATTCATCCATCTGAAGTCCCAGGAAATCCAGTGCTCCAAACTGGGATACTCATCGACCTGTGTTTAGCAGTGAATAAAGCAAATCCTTAAACCAGGATACCAGTTTTAAGCATGGCATGATTGCGTTTTAGCTGATTTGTGTTAATTACAGAAATACCATTGTGTTAACAACACATCTCCCACCAAGCCTGGAGGGACGGTTTCTTGGCTGGCTGAAGGTAACCTAAGACCACACTGCTGCCAAAAGCAGTGCTCCTGTGCCTTGCATTGGTGACCGCACAGCTGCTGAGCTGGCTGGGAACTCCGGGAAACCCACCCTCAGCATGGAAACTTAGCCATGAGTGAAAGTGCAAGAGAGCACACAGCCCTGGCAGGGTGCAATCCCAGACTGGTTTGTGTTGGAAGGGACCTTAAAGCTCATCCAGTTCCAACCCCTTGCCACGGGCAGGGACCCCTTCCACTGGAGCAGCTTGCTTCAAGCCTCTGTGTCCAACCTGGCCTTGAACACTGCCAGGGATGGGGCAGCCACGGCTTCTCTGGGCACCCTGTGCCAGCGCCTCAGCACCCTCACAGGGAAGAGTTTCTTCCTAATATCTAATCTAAAACTATCATCTTTCAACTTAAAGCCATTACCCCTTGTCCTAGAACTACATGCCATTGTAAAAAGTCCCTCTCCAGCTTCCTGGTAGGCACTGGAAGCTGCTATAGGGTATCCCCAGAGCCTTCTCTTCTCCAGGATGAACAATCTCAACTCTCTCAGCCTGTCTCCATAGGAGAGGTGCTCCAGCAGCTCTTTGTGGCTTTGGGTAAGACCGGAGCATCCCTTCCATGGGCTTAAGGCACGTGGGAAATCACCCCTGAGGTTTGGAAAATGGGAAGATAACAAATGACAGAAGCTCATTCAGACCAAAGGAGAATACAATTATTATAGTCCTTTTTTTTTTCTTCACATGTATCATCAGTATAATTGCAGAAAAGCAGACTCAAGGGTGATTATTGCTTCAAAGGCACAGCACTTCCAAAAGGACCAGCATTTCCCCTTATCTTTAGGGTCCTTATTCATTTCCATCCTCAAATCTCTGCTCCACGGGTCCAAAGTTGATCTTTCTTGCAACATCACCAACAACAACTGGCTCATCTTCACAAGCTGTCCCACCAGGCCTGCATCGTGGCCTTTCCCCTCCGCACCATCCTGTGCTGGAAGCCCATGATAACAGATGCAGGCTCTTTCTTTCCATGCAAGGTGCTGATTGCTTTTGGTTTGGTTTCACAGCGATACCAAATTCCACGTTGGTTCATATTTGTCAATATTTGCATAGCAGAAAATGCCATAATTGCACGAATGGCTCGTGTAGGTATCAAAAACCTCGTGTTAAACCAACGTTTCCCGTGTAATCGTGGTGCCCATATGGCAGAGCTGTCATCTCTATACACTTAGCAAAACAAAAGGCTGGTGGAGTGATGTGTTAATCTGTTCCCATTAACAAGACAGCAAATTCCCCCTTGATCGCACAGCTCAAATTAAGCACATGTAATCTCACGGTGACACTCACAACGGTGTTAATGTAATGCATACATAGAGATAGACAGGAGGAAGTAAGTGTCCTCAGGAGCACAGCATTGATGTCATTTAGGCTCTCTGTATCTTAATACGGGCCATTAACACCAAACTGCTTTAAAGACAAAGCCTTTTGATTGTGTCAGTCTTCTGTGGGCGATGTTACAGGTTTTCCAGCTCGTGGCAGGATGGGGGGGTCCCATCAGATTCCACCATGCAGGCATACTTGATCGGGGGTGGCGGTGGCTTGAAAGATGGGGGTCTGTCCATTCTGCAATGGAAGAGAAAAAAAGCACTGTCACACAAAAGCTGTATAAAAGAGTGCTGCAAAACGTGCACAGGAGGAGGCAGATGGACACTAAGTCGTTATAAGAGCACCTGACATTTCCTTTCACATAGCATGACTTCCCTGTTTCTGTTCTATCACCTCAGCGCACCTCCCGGTATTCATTTGGCTTCCTCAGCTCCCGCCTCCCAATTTTACTTTATTCATGCCTTAAAAGAACAGACCGTGGTCCCGGTGAAGCATTCAAAACCCTTGCAGAGGTTTCTTTGCTCACGCTGCTCTCTGAAGGCATATTTAAAGACTCAACTTTTCTTTGGTCGATTTCTAGGCCAAGTTAAAGAAAGGCCCCATCCCAAACCGGTGCAAAAATTAATCCCATTTTTGCCTTTGATATACAGGGTTTTGCAGCCGTGTTTCAAAAGGGCTTTTTAGGACCGCAAATGATTCATTAACACCGTGATTTTTCAGACATTTTAGCAGTGCTAGTGAGATTAAAAATAATTGGCTCTCAGATACTGCTTTCATCAGTAGATCGCCGAGTGCTTTAGCAGGGAATTAAACTTTGGTAATAATTGCAAACTCAATGCTTCTTTGGCTGGGATTAAGTTTTAGGTAGCCTACTTTCACATATATTATTCACAACTGAAATAGAGTTACCTTAGAAGTACAGTTTCATTAAAACATGTCCTCAAGTAACCATGCAGAATGAGAGAGCAAAAGCAGCTGGCAAGCAGGCTAATAGAAGTGAGGGGCTCTGGGATAAAGAAATTGACTTGTATTCTTCCCTCATGCCCTGAAGCTGCACTGCAGCTCTTTCTTTATAGTTTGTTTTATAGATAGCCCACAGAACAGATGAAAGGGCTGAGAACACTCAACATAAAAAGGACATGGAACTGTTGGAACAATTCCAGAGGAGGCCAAGAGGATGATCAAGGACTGGAGCACCTCCCATATGAAGATAGGCTGAGAAAGTTGGGGCTGTTCAGCCCGGAGAAGAGAAGGCTGAGTGGAGACCTCATAACAGCCTTCCAGTATCTGAAGGGGGCCTATAGGGATGCTGGGGAGGGACTCTTCATTAGGAACTGCAGTGACAGGACAAGGGGTAATGGGTTAAAACTTAAACAGGGGAAGTTTAGATTAGATATAAAGAGGAAATTCTTTCCTGTTAGGGTGCTGAGGCACTGGAATGGGTTACCCAGGGAGGTTGTGAATGCTCCATCCCTGGCAGTGTTCAAGGCCAGGTTGGACAAAGCCTTGGGTGCCATGGTTTAGTGTGAGGTGTCCCTGCCCATGGCAGGGGGGCTGGAACTGGGTGATCTTAAGGTCCTTTCCGACCCTAACTATTCTGTGATTCTAACACTCCATGTTTCCTACTGCTGTATGGAAAAACATGGCAGTAGCATCCATGTACTTAAAGGCCTTGTGCAGGATGGATAATGTCAAGGGAAAACGTGTCAATCCAAACAGCTGGGTTAGGGTTTATGCTGTTTTCTGTGCCACCACTCACACATCTGCTGTTCCCCCTTCCTTGTACTCACATCTCTTTTTGGTACTGACACCATTTCCTGATGCCCAAAGCTATCAGAAAACTGCAGGAGAGGAGCAGGACTGCTACCACTGTTGGCCAGGGGAAGTGACTGGCTTTTGTGTTCATCACACCACCTGGAAGGGACACAAGAGACAGAGCTAAGCTGAACGTCCTCAGAGAGGAGGCAAATCTGGGCTTGCTGCCTACAGGCACAGTGCTAGTGATGATACAGCCCCAGATCAGCACTGGACTGCCAGGTTCCCAGGCTGGTGATCCCAAACTCTGAGCATTGTAGCCCTGATTTATGGAATTAACCCACTTTTGTTCTGACTGGGTTTGCGGGCTGATGTCAGCCACCCATCCATTCACATGATGGGGTTGGTCAGGCACAGGCTGGCCAGTGTTTCGTCTGAAAATCAGTGCTTTTGTCTGTTTCTATGTGAGCTTCTTCAAGGGGAAGCACACTGACACCAAGCCCTGCTGAAAGGTCTGGCTAAAGGCACGGCCACTTATTGGTGCGGGGTTTTGTTGATGGCACAGCAACCCTGACTCTCCCTTACTCCATCTTCTGCTTCTAGTGCTGGCATCCCCCCACTGCTGCACAGTCACCTTTGAAGGGTGCTGGTACCTGAAAGAGGTACCCTCAGGGTCCCAGCCGTAGGGACAGAGGAGAGGAGCATGGACCACATTCAGCTGGCACCAAGGGTGCAGCAGTGGGCTGGTTGCCAGAGAGGCCTAAAGCACGAGAGTCACTGGGTGATGCCACCTCATTGTCACCTCCCGTTGTGCTGGCATCACGACCATTTGCAATGCTGGTCATGCTGGGATGCCACTCAGCCTGGGTCTTAGCCACAGTGGTAGCCAGCAGTGTGGCTGGACACCAAGTCCACCACACTGCACAAGCCATTAGTGGTCCCTGGGGCATAGGGAGTGTGACTGGCCAAATTTTGCTGCTGGAAGAAACCATGTACTGAGGCATCATTTGCGGATGCAGGAAGAAGGCAGGAATGCCAAAAGCCTGCAAGGACCCACGGTGTGGGGACAGAGCAGCTGTGACTCCTCTTTTCACCTCTTCTCCCTTTCTTGAGCTCCCCTGGTCAACTGTACATGATGCTTCAGATCCCATGCTCCTCTGCTTTTCTGACTTACTGCAACGGCATGCCGAAAGAAGAGGCTTTGTAAGATAATGTCTCACCAGTAGTATTGAGCAGACTGCTGGCAGTAAAGAAATCTTCCCCTCTGGTAACTGAAATTGGCTGGTCGGTGATGCTGGACAGGTTACCTAGAAAGATATGAGCACAGAACACTTTAAGTAACTCATTTGGTGTTTTTTGTGGTTTGCTTTTTTTATGTTTAAATGAAGGTTATGTTTCGAAGCCACTGTTATTCACCCTGGTGAAGCTGGAAATCAAACTCCAGAATCAGGGTGTCAAAATCCTCTTGTCAAGAGTCCTATATTTTTGGCCTACAACCCTGTGTTAAATAAAAAACGTGCTTTTATCCAATTAAATAATATTAAAAGAAAGAAAGGGAAGGAGGAGAGAGAAGAGAAGAGGAGAGAAGGAGAGAGGGAAAGAGAAAGAGAGAAAGAGAGGAAGGAGGGAAGGGAGGAAGGGAGAGAGAAAGGGAGAAAAAGAGAGAGAGAGAGAGAAAAAGAGAGAGAGGAAGAGAGGAAAGGAAAGGAAAGGAAAGGAAAGGAAAGGAAAGGAAAGGAAAGGAAAGGAAAGGAAAGGAAAGGAAAGGAAAGGAAAGGAAAGGAAAGGAAAGGAAAGGAAAGGAAAGGAAAGGAAAGGAAAGGAAAGGAAAGGAAAGGAAAGGAAAGGAAAGGAAAGGAAAGGAAAGGAAAGGAAAGGAAAGGAAAGGAAAGGAAAGGAAAGGAAGGAGAAAGAAGGAAAGAAGGAAAGAGAAAGAAAGAAGGAAAGAGAAAGAAAGAAAGAGAAAGAAAGAAAATGAGAAAACACCCATTAAGATGTTCCAGCAACACAGCATTGAGCTGCGCAGCAGTCTGGGCGAACGATAAGCTTTTTACCTCTTTGATGGTAATGAAGAGCTAAAGATATTAAGTGGCTTAGTAGCAACACAAAGAGTATGCCTCTGCCATGACTGAGTGAAACCTCAGTCTCCTCTGTCAAGTGCTGTGTCTGAACCACAACAATAATCTCCCATCTGTTTGTAGACAGATACTTAGCTGTCCTTAATACAGCTAAGCTACCTACGTTTGAGATCAGTTCTGCCTAAGGATACATTCCTGTTTTTTCTAGCCACCTCCGTGTTTGCATCTTCCAAAATAATAGCTAAAATATGCGATTAGACAATGGCACAGCATTTCCAGAGCTGCCATGGCACTTACGATACGCCAGGATTGTGTTCTTGGAGGAGCGCGTGGCATTCCTGAGGCTTTGAGGGGATTCGGTGGAGGAATCATTCAAATCTGTGCAAAAAGATATAATGCCTTTCAATTACCATACAAGCCTGTACGTGATTGCTTCACTGGGCTCAACTGTGGCTGTTTTATACCCTTCGCTTTTGTCTGATGCAAACAACAAATGAAATAACAAAGATACCTGAAAGGCTGGAGTGTAATTGCTGATTTATAAATCCGAGAAAAATAAATCCACCATTTAAACAATGTAAATGAGTAATCAGAGACAGGAAAATCTCTTCCTTATGAGAGTCTGGTTTTGGTCAAAATTGAGCACTCAAGTATATATATATATGTGTGTATATATATATATATGTGTATATATAGACGGATGGATGGATGGATGGATGGCAGGCTCCATGGAGACCTTATAGCATCCTTCCAGTACCTAAAAAGAACCTACAGAAAAGCTGGAGAGGGACTTCTTGCAAGGATATGGAGTGACAGGACAAAGGGGAATGGCTTTAAACTGAAAGAGGATAGATTTAGATTAGATACTAGGACAAAGTTTTTCACTATGAGGGTGGTGAGAAATTGGCACAGATTGCTCAGAGGAGTTGTGGATGTTTCATCCCTGCAAGTGTTCAAGGCCAGGATGGATGGGGCTTTGAGCAACCTGGTCTAGTGGAAGGTGTTCCTGCCTGTGGCAGGGAGCTTAGAACTAGATGATCTTTGAGGTGTGTTCCAACCCAAACTATTCTATCATGCTATGTACACAGGTATGTATGTGTTAAAAAGCCCTGACAAAAATCAGTCCAATTTTAGGGCATTCTAAAAATTCACTGAGATTTTTGGTCATCAGTTCAGTCCTTCTTTTCTCTTTGCTTATTAGGTGTTTATTTTTATGGGCATAAGCAAGATAGATCTGGCATCCTAAGGTCATATATAAAAAAAAGAGGATATAGACTTAGAGATCCCACAGCACAGCACTCTATATAGCATGCTGATGAGCACTACTTATTATAATTCACATAATGGCTTGTGCTAGAGCCTCTGAGGATTGAACTGATAATAGCAATCCCTGTTGTACGAGCCCAGTGGCCCTGGGAAAGCACAGGGACACATGCTAGTATGCCTCAGCGGGAACACTGGTGCCAGTGTGCTCTGAAATTACCCCCAATTACAGCTGCCAGACTGAGGACCCTTCAAGGCCATGCCTCAGCTGGTAATCAGGTTATGGGGAAGCAATGGTAGGGATGTACCCATGAGTGGTACAGGACTCAGTACCTCCTGTAAATAGCAGCGTAATTCAGCACGCTTTTAGCAAAAATTGCAGCCAACAAGCTGTGCTGGGGTAGGATCGTGAAGCATTAGAAGTTGTCACAAGGTTTCAGTCTAAATGCGTGGTTGGGGGTCGTACACAGGTAAATAAGCACTGGAGTGCTGCCAAAAATACAGTCGGAAAATGGAAAGCGGCTGCTACGCTTGTGCTTCAGCCAAAAGAAGACTGGCAGACAAACACAAAAGTGCATTGACAAGCCCTGCCTGTTCCAAAAGCACAAAACCAACGATGTTAAAGAAGAGAGTAACTTCCATCTTTCTGCTGCTGCGTGGAGATTTTCTAAAGGGAAAAGTGTCCACCCCTGGGGTTTCCTTTATTGATTTATTGATCTTTAACGAGGCTGCCTTTCAATGTTCTATTCGCCAGCCTTTCCTGCCCCACATTATCTCATTATTTCATTGCTGTGTGGTGATTTTATTTAGCTGCTCCTGTAATTTATTTCATCTATAAACTGCCCTCACATTTGCCTAGCAACTCTCTCCCTTTCAATATTGTCAAATTAAATATGTCTCACAAAACCAGGATTCTCAAATGTTTTTGCGTTCCTCTTCTGCTGCCGCAAATCCTTGACAGCTTGGGAGAGTCAAGCCTTTATCTTCTAGCTCAGTGCAACTCCACAGGGGAATTGCTTCTGTGAAGTACTGGAAAGCTGATACAGGCTCCACCACCCGAATCTGACCTCTGCTCAGACACAACTTTTCTGTGTTTAGGAATAGCTTATGCATGGCGATGTGACAACTATCAACTAGCAGCTGAAAATAAGCACCGCAGAGCGGATGTGCTTGGCAAAGGCATCACAAACAGGACTACACAGAGCCAAGTACCTGCTGCTGTGCTTTGAGCAAGATACTCCAGATGACTTTAGATTTGCAACCCAACACTTGCTAAGTTGGTGCCACATTTGAACTTTGCAGCACCCATAACTGGCTTCATAACTCCCCTGGTACGGTCCTATGAAGCAGAGGAAATGCATCATCTACTCACATGCTGTTGTCAATCTCTCATTAAATGCTGTGGAGCTTTTGTTTCTGCTGTAGAAATCAGTGCTCCTGCTGAAAACACACAAGTTTGTAAACGTTGCTGTAGAGGAACTTATTACTTGTCTTTCATTTTTCCCTCTTTCTTCCCTGTTTCCTGAACTAATGAGGTCAGATGGTTGTAACCTACTACTTACTATATTGGTTTCTCTCAATCACCACACAACTGTGTGTCTGTTTTGAAACCCTATCAATCACAAGCTAGAAACTCAAGAGGAGTTTGACGAGATGGATAAATAAACTTTGAGAAAACAGATGGGGCATTTAAGCATATATTTTTGGATTTTAGCTGGGTTTCAGTTGAAACTCAGCAGTTCCAAGTGTGGTGGCTTGTTTCAACCTAAAGCCAGTGCAGTAATGAACAAAGATATGTAAATCAGAATTCAGACAGGGTTTCAGCACCTCCAATGAGACAAAGCTGTTTTCCCAACCAGCAGAGAGAGCTTTTGAAGAAGTCAGTGTGCAGGAACACACGTGCAACACCTGGTGCCAAATGACAATTGATTTGCCTAGGGAAGCTGTGAATGCTCCATCCCTGGCGTTGTTCAAGGCCTGGTTGGACAGAGCCTTGGGTGACATGGTTTAGTGCGAGGTGTCCCTGCCCATGGCAGGGGGGTTGGAACTGGATGATCTTAAGGTCCTTTCCAACCCTAACTATTCTATTATTCTATGACATATTCCATGAATCTCTTTTTGAACTGCTAAGTATTCTAGGGCTTGACTACCTGTTTATCTGATATTCAAACATAAACAGATGGTGGTTAGCAAGTAGACCTCTATTTTTCCCAAGAGGCCTTATTTCACATTTACTAAAAAGAGTCCACCTTTCCTAACATCTGTCTCATTTTTGGAGAAGTATCATTAAGCCATCTGAACAAATCTGAGAAGGTGAAACGCAGCTGTAACCCAGCACTTAAAGCCTGAGCATCTCTAGGCTCACAGATGGAGCTACGATGGAAGCTAAGTGAAGATCGGGCTGAAGTTTTAACAGCCCTAGTTTTGTCTCCATTCCTGCTTCTCCTGCCTATATCTGTGCACTCTTCCTTCTTACCAATTCCCAGCTGCCTCTTGGAAGTTCATTAAAGACTTGCAAAACAACAAGAACTGAAACAACCTCCTTTTTACAATGGCAGACTCGGACTTGGCATCCTGACTCAGCTGCAGCCCAAACAGCCTGCTCAAGAAGCTGATGGTGGCATCAGTGTGGTAACCAGCAGCACGCCAGAGAGGAGAAGCATTAACCCACAGTCAGCACACCACACCTGCCACACGTCAGGGGCATTGGTTAAAAGGCAGTTGTTTCCTGGTCTATTTATAGAAGACAAATAGCTCTGCAGCAGCTCACACTACAACTTTGACCTTGTACCTTCTCAACTAGTGAAGATACATAACAAAGTGAGGAGAATCATCTGTTCATATTGTGTATTTATAGCCTCTGTCATGAAACTGTTTGCAGAAGGGATTTCAGTCTACTTTGACAAGCACTTTGTTGCCAGGCTGGGAAAGCATCTCTGCTTTGGAGATGGGGAAGACAGCATGAAAATCAACAAGCCTTAATTTCAGTGCCTCTGCAATCTGTGTTGCTACCCTGGCATATCTCAATCTAGATCTCTTTATGCCCCAGGGTTTTACAATGAGTAATTCAGCTCCCAGACAGCACTCTGCTAGGGCAGGATAAAGCCTTTTGTTCAGCAGCTTCCTCCAGTATTACCCCACACATTGCCCCTCGCATTGTTCACTCATCCCTGGGTACATACTGCTATAGCGTCATGTAATGTAGGTTACTTTAAGTGGAGGTTGCAGGGTTGCATTATACCGCTTAAGGAGGATGTTTGATGCCTCACGGGCTACTGAAAGTTAGTCTGTTTGAAGAACAAGGCTGCTGCAAATACCAAGGGCCAAATCTGCTCCTGCCAGCTGCTGCCTCAGCGGTGAATCGTTTCTGAGCCGAAGCTTTGATGCTGCTATGGAGGGGAAGATGGACTTTGACAAGGACTTGCCAAGTTGCATCTTCCGCGTGCTGCCATTTCGCACGTGCTGTTTTGCATCCAGACTGGGGACGTGTGCCATGCCTGCTTTCATTCAGGCCATGTGGCAGCGAGCACGCACCTTGCTGTTTGTGGGCGCAGCTCCAATGCCCTTCTAACTGCTGCTTAAAACCACCCATTCCTACAGGGATCAACAGCTGGGCTTCAAAATGGAAAGAGACGTTAAAGGAAAAAGTGCTCCCAGCTTGATGCTGGGATCGGTGGGCATCAACCCTTTATTTCGGGATCAGAAGGCAAGAGGTTTGCAGCTTCACCTGCTCTCAACTCAGGCTGCTGCTGCACTGCTGAGCATGTGCCAGCTGCTCCTGCACATACCTCTCCCTGGGGAAGCGAGGTTAAACCCTTCCAAGTATGTTACCATGCCCTTCATCAGCCTCGGTGTCACCAGCACAGGGAAGAAATCACTGTGTTGGGTCATCTGCTGTTAATATTTTGTATATTGGTGCTTTTCATTCATATTCCTGTGCTCCATTATTTGGGTTGCACTTTTTCTAGCTCTGATGTCACTTTATGCTTCTAAGGTATTTAATTGAAGAGATACATATAGTAAGTATTCAAAAAGTATACATACTCAGTGTCTGTTCAACTTGCTCAAATTAATGTATATATCCTGAATGGAGCATTAGAAAAGATAAAATCACCCAGCATTTTCTCATTTTTGGACTGTGGACTTCCTAGTGTATAATGTACTAAGTAAAAGACTTCAGTAAGCATCCCAAAAATGCAAGGTGGTTATTGTGTTGATGTACCTTTCTCCTGCATTCTTGAAGCAAAAGAGGAAATGTTTTGGCTGAATTGATTACCTTGTGTCATAGAAGCGGGAGGCAACCTTGCTTGACTTCTGAAATCCGGAGAGGCCAAAGATGTCACCGGGTGCTCTAATGACAAACAGATCACATTTAGTCAATAGGGTATTTAAACCACGTTATTAATAAATCATAAACCAACCATGATCAAAAACCTTGCAGTAGCTGTTGGGTAAGCGCAGACGGCAGCAGGAATCCTGCTGATGGAGTTAAGGTTAAATGCTCAAAACAGATCCCACAGATGCAAGGGGCACTCGGAGATGGGTGAGGTTATTAATGCTGACCCTTTCACACGGGCTGGCTGTGTGCATTATTTATTGATGCTTTTATACAGAGGGTTCAGTTTAGCTGCTGTGGGATGGATTAAGCACTTGGTGGTGGTGCTCCCCTGCCTGGCCAGAGCCTTGCCAGAAACGGCCCTGACAACAAGCAGCAGGAGGTCGCCTGCTCTTGTGAGTTTTCCTCTCAGCTGCTGAGGATAGATCCATATAGTTATCCACATGCGTGCTCTGCTAAAGAAATGCTATTTATCTGATACCGTTAATGAATGGGAATAATGCGCTAGTATTGGGTCAAGGAGAAGTGGTGGGTTTAACTTTTCTATCACATGCACCTCTCTGTCATAATAGGACAAATTTATTCATAGCTGTATAGGGGGTTTCATTCCATTCCATAAAAAGGCATAAGAATATTATGGGATACCCAGCATGCCATCTTACATGCTGTCCTGACATGACAGTGTTAGCAGGATTTGTGTCAGATCACTTCTTGGTTAACTTGAGAGCTCACAAGTTCCTGCCCAGCAGCACATAGGTACTGTCACTACCAGAGCACACTGACCTTTCCCTGCCTCTGTGTACCTGACATTTAAAGTGGTCAAGCAGAGATCCTGCATATATTGACTGAGTAATAAAGAAGACTTCTTTTTTAACCCTTACTTGAGGTAGTCATAGCAGCTGATGGAAGAGCTGAATTTCTGAGGTCTGTAGCATATCAAGGCAAACACTTACACAGGGTGAGAAAGGCGTTTATTCTGCTTTCAAGTGGGCGATTCAAAGATTCAAGAGTGAAAATTCATCACACTTCATTATCAAATAATCTTCCAATGTACAACTCAACTGAGTGGTGCAGTGAGAAAGGGAAGTACCTGAACTATGTCTGAAATCCCTATGGAAACAAAGGTTTGGGGGGGAAGAAGTTTTGGAGCCTTTGGGATCTCAGTTGAAAAAGTAGAAGTGAGTTACATGGTTTTATCCCATACAAACAGATGTGCCCTATTAGCATAGATGCTGGAACAACATATGTGACTGCTGGTGGTAGCTGCATAGCTCCATCCATCCATGAGGCACCTCAGAGACTGTAACCATGACAGGGAATTTCAGGGACAGTTTGCACTGGAAAGTGCTCATTGAGTCCTCAAAGAAAATGAGAGGGAGCTAATCCTTGTAATGAAAGGACTGCCAATAGGCTAGCCCAGCACAGCAGAGACACTCTTCTGCCCAAGCAGCATTTATACCCTGAGTGAGAGAAGTCTCACTGTTTATTCCGCAGAAGGGGGGTACAGTACCCCCTGAGAGGGTTAGGAAGAAGGATTAAATCTCCCCAAAGGGCTCCATGAGGGAGGGCATCCATGAAAGCTCATACAGCCCATTAGCAAAACATACCTGGAAAGGCAGCCAGAAGGTACCTCTGCTTGGTCAGGGATGTTGGGAGGGCGCTGGGCGAGGCATGACCCTTAGCAGCATAAGGAGCATCACTCTCCAGCTGCTTCCTTTCACAAGCATTTGTACCTCCTCTAACTGTTCTGAGTGCTGCTCTTCAGTTTGCATTTCCTCTTAGCTTCACCTGCACTAACAGGGGTTTTGTAGTATCTGGCTGACATAGAGACTCAGTACTGAAGATGCAGCACGTCTAAACACCAGGGTAGTGGGGCACCTCGGGGTACATCCAGCTCCCATTATGATTCTGCAGAGTGTGCAATTTGAAGCTGCAAGGGCTGCTTTGAGACATCACCTTGCAGAGGCCAGCAAAGGACAAGGACTCTTTCAGGGACCCCTGTACCAGGGATGTCTTTCTGGTACTCAGCAGGGTATTGGCTGAACTCTTAGGGCCTGCCACAAACTGTGCTCACAGAAGCAAGCTTACACAGAAACCCACCCTTCTTTCCATGCTGTTTATCTGCAGTGTTTCTCTGACACACCTGATGTAACCCACTGCTGAATTCCAGCTGCCTCCTATGCGGAGCAATAGGAGAGGCATCTCCAAAGGGCTTCAGCTGCGGTGTGGAGGGACCGATTTCTCTGCCTGCAATAAGCTGATAATAAGACAAACTTGCAGGGGCAGACCGTGGATTTGCCAAATCTACACAAATTACGAATCATCCCATCAGTTCTTTAATTAGGACAAAATGTTGAGATCTTGGCTGTGTACTTAAGCAGAAGGTAGAACCATTAGTAGGGCTGTTATTTTTAATTACCAGTTCAGGGCTGAAAGAGCTATATTCAAATGCCAGCTGACGCATCAGAAATAACACTAAGTGCCCCTCAAGGCTGGAGTTTAATCGTGCTTGAGCTTAATTATGATAGACGACACCACCAAAATACCTGTTTATTGTATTTGCTCTGGAATCCTAGTTGCAGAGAGGAGTACATTAGTACCCATCCAGGAACAAGTTTGCAAACCCGTTTCTCCAACAGCTGTAGGAATTCATAGACACACCTTTACCACAACTCAGGTTATTTTGTTCTCTAATTTATCCTACCTTCTGAAGCCATGGTGGGGAAAGCTCTGGATGAGGCTTCATTAGGCTTATTGTCTGTGAAGGACAAAAGAAAGGAGAAAAGAAAGATGAAAGCAGCCCTTTAAAGTAGCTTGGCTTTTGTCATAAAGGCTGAAAACTTAGTTTGGGGTTTGTGTCATATTGTGCATTAGGGTGGCACCTTCCTACAACATAGCTGAGAATTAAAGTAATTCTTTCCTTTCTGTCGCATCTAAGTACATTAACATCTTTATACAGAGCGCATCTATCTTAGCGTTGGCATAGCCTGCAGGGACAAATGTAGACTGTTTTAATTGACAGCTCTCCAATTCTAATATCTTTCTACTAAACTGTAAAATGGGTGAAATGAGTCATTTTGGAGAAAAATGATCATTTATCTCCTTTCCCTCCAAAGCTGTATTTCCAGAGAAGTAAGCTCTGGCTTTTGATGCAATCTTTGTGGAAATATATAGCAATGATCATACCCACAAGTGAACACAGCTGAGCTGCGAGCAGTCACCATGCTATGTGATGTACCTATGGGGGCTGCTAAGGGGTCAGCAGTTCAGTTGTGTTATCCGTGCAGCAAGGAGCATACATAGCAAGAAAGAAAAAGGTGTAGCTATGCATTTGCACCTGAAGAGGAGGCATATACAAGAGGGTGCCCTTCCCTGCATCCTCAGAAACGACATAAACCTCTGCACGGCCATGTTTTCCACGCTTCCCTATTCATTTAGCTAATTCTTATGGGACATGTTATAAGGGAGTTTCTCCATTGTCCACAATGGCTCAGCTGGTTTTGGTTCAACTGTTTTCAGGTGTCACTGGAGATGTACAACATAGCCCTGACCGAAGGATTGATACTCCAGAGAGCTACATTGCACACAGGCAGATTTGCTGCTACGAGTGCTCAGTGAGAAACACATGATTATAACATCTCACTAGTGCCATGTGGTTAAGCGAGTGTATTTTGGGGTATGGGAAGTGCAGTAAGATACAAATAGCAAGCATCTTATGTTTGTGCAGGAGTTTCTTAGCTCATTAAAAGGCTTGAGCTACAAACCACTGTCGGAAAGTTCAAGCTGTGTGATGAACTTGCACAATGAAGCTTCCAGAGTCTTGGCATTTCTCTGTATTTTAAATAACAGAGAACACATATGCTTGGTGCTCTTATCATTTGACATTTCAGATGTGTCCTATCTGGGAAAAACCTACCGAAGGAAACAAATATTTCTTTTGATGAAATATTCCATGTTCCATTCCCAAGGAAGGAAAACAGACATGCACACAAGAACGTCTTAGATGTCTGGTGGGTCCCTTGAAACACCAGCGTTGATCTCAGCTGATAGAAACCTTCACTGTCTTGCGAGTCTTCTTGTTCAACAGAGATTCCTTGGGGAAAGAGAAAAAGAAAAGGAAAAGCTGCAAAAGCCTCTCATTACACTCCAAACGATAGATCAGAGCCATGCAAAATACTGGTACTGAAAAGCAAGCTCATATGGCTGCAGGTGTGTTTGCTGAGACGCTGTCAAAGACTTGGCAAGAACGGTGCGGTTATGCCAAGCCATCATTCCAATGACTGCCAATTCCAGGGGGATGTGGCCACAGCTGTTCCCTTTGAGGAGGCCTGATACTCTTCCCTTAACCCAGATGGACACCTACGGGTTCCACATGGCAGGAGCCAATGAGCACCTATTGCTTTTCATGGGAATCTCTTCTACAGCTGCCCCATTATCCTACTGACAGGTTGCATTACCTCCAGGCTGCTCCGTCAAGCTCTCTCTGTCCACGTACCACACAAGGCTTGGCTTGGGAAATACCTTCCTCATGATGCAGGTCACGTTAGGCTATGGGGCAGTAAAAGCCAGTCGTTAATCTCAGCCACTTCTCACCTGGCTGCCAGCTTCCAAACTCCCTTACAGACAGAGCTGATTTACCCCTCATCCCACTCGCTTCCTCTTTATTGTTCTGCTTCTCTCCCTCATACCCCCTATTTTTCTGGTTGCAGACACCACTGAATGAGAGCCAGGGACAACCTCATCATGCTGGGCCAAGTGCAGGGTGGTGGGACCTCCAACACCCTCCAGTCCTGTGCTGTGGCTGGAGAGATGTAGGATAACCCCAAACCCTCCTGTTCCTCTCCCAGCATCTCAGTGGCAAACACCCACATGGAGAAACACAGGAATCAGCAGTGGGCTCAGACACCTCCTGGTTGCCATGTAAATCCTTCCTGCGTTAGATAGAGACAAATCCCATGGAAAAAGACTGCCTAGCACAATGATGTGTTGAATGTAGAAAATTGGATACCTTTTTAGAGAGCATGATCTGTAAGAGGTTTCCAGAAGTCACAAGGATTTGCTTGCTTTGCATGCAGTAGTCCTGTCGGTATGCTAACTGCTCCAAAAATCTGTTTTTGTGCTCAGTGTAATTTCTCATCAAGAAATAGATGGGAAGGACCTCTAAATCAAGGCTGGATGAAGGGCTGGGTACTAGCAGGGTAGGAGGTCTCATCCTCATGCTGCCTGGATGCTCCTGATTACATTTACTTAGCGCATTATGGCACTAAGAGAAATTGCCTTGTGCATTTAAACAATAATTAAAAAGCAGAGTATAAAGCATGTGCTACCCATGTAGCACAAAGCCCTCTTGCTCCCGCTTTCAAAGAAAGAGGCTAACACCTTTAGTTCAAAGCAAACTTGATGCATTACAGCCAGCAGAAGTCAATCATTCAGTAGGAAGACTGAAACTGCCTGGCTGAAACTCTTTCCTAGCCATAGTAAATAACCTCTGAATGTGTAATGCAATTGCTTTCCCCTCTTATTTTCATTATTCCCTTATTTTTCAGGCACTTTGCATTAATAATATCTTTATAAATGCTGCCTATAAGAAATACAAGTCTGACATCCACAATAGACTTAAGCCCTGCAAGAAAGGATGGAAAAGAGAAGGAAAGAAGTCAGTGTGTGTTTGGAGGTGAAGAATAGATAGAGGGTCTTGGGAGAGTTTCTATTGCCTGGTCCCATGACAGCAGCACCGCTTGCTTGCTCTACAGGACAGCGTAGACAAAAGGCTGCAACATCCAACACTACATCTGGAAATAGGTCACCAGGGAGTTTTTGCATAACCAGCTGCCTCATGGCTTGTCTGAAGCAGGTGGGTATGGCTGATAAAAGGTTCTGCCTACCCACAAGCATTTTCCAAGGGAAACCTTCCAAATTAACTTGGATGCTCACAGATCAAAAGCTGTAACCTGGATGGATGTGACAGGAAGCAAAGTGCCATACCTGGTAGCCAGAGTGGCTTGCTATTCAATCATATGGGCCACAAATATGTTTTATGCCATGTACAGCCAGTGTGGTGCAGCAGACCTTCAGCATTTGTCATTACCAAGCATGTGGTAAAACAGAGACCCCAAACCACATGTGTAACTGTTTAGCTCTAAATAGGGGCCCTCAGATCCAGTCATTCCATTGGCATCTGCTTGCTTCAGCTGTGTTGTGCTTGCTCCAGCTGTGCTCTGCTTGCTCCAGCTGTGTTCTGCTTGCAACACAAACATGAGCATCGCCTTTATTTAAACACAAGCATCACTCCCACAACAACTGCTCCTCCCTGCCCCTGTGGGGTTGTGTGCAGATGGGGGCTGCCACTGCATGGCCCCTTGGAGCAGCATCCCAGGTAGTGGGTGACCTTCTTCAGAGAGGGATTTAAAGCAGTGTGGAGAGGGCAGCTCGAGGCTGCCAGGTGGTTGCTGGCAGATGGGAAGGGAAAAGAAGCATCACAGCCTCCTGCAATATCATCAGCTCCTCTTGATTCTGTCCGGGAGCCTTCACATAAGTAACACAAACCCAGATTTTGCCCACATACTGGGGCCCTTAGCTAGCTCCAGTTTGTCCTCACTGAAGCACAGGGATGGGAATCGTTCAGAAGAAAGGGCATGGATGGCTGATATTAACTCATTGACTCGCTCATCACCCCGTGAGCTTGGTCTGTTTGGAGGTCCCTGACTCAGCTTAGCTTGTCTGGCCCTGCCGAGGTGGCACAGTGGTGGTCACAAGCATTATTATTCACTCACCTTCTCTGAAGTGCCAGCAGCACCCTCCTGCAGGCCAACAGAGATCTCAGGGTAGGCTGGAAAGCAAACAAAATTGCATTAATTAAGTGGATAACATGGGTCACAGTAACAGCTTCTAATAAGGCTTAACAGCCTTGTTTCATGAAAAGAGTGGAAATTAAAGCCTACATCCACCCACACATCTAGCAAGATAAAAGCCTGCACAGCTCCGATTTGAGGTTGAGGAAGTGGTTTACAAGCACGTATCAGTAGCTGCTACCGCAAGATCTATCACGTATTTCCCTGCCTACCTAAACCACTCTTGGGTGCCTTTGCTGGAGAAACGAGCTGGAACCATCCTGCACCCTTCATAGGCCTGCTGAAGTAAAACACTTCCCAGTTGTTGGTTGCTCTGGGTGTTTGCCAAAGTCACCTATGAAGGCTTTATCCATCGCCAAAAAGACTGATTTGTATAGCAATGGCTATCCCCATGCAGTTGCCTGGGAAGATGTGTGGCAGTGTCAGACTACAGATGCTTCCTGCCTTGCTGGGAAGCCCAGAGCTCACCTTCACATCACAGCACTGGGTTTCTGATGGCCACCACATGCACTGCAGATGGAAAAAGGGTTTCCTTTTGCTTTCACAGCATTTTGGTTCTAGGCACAGCTGACTATCTAGATAAAAGTCATCAGGTATGGTAAGACTCTCTAAACTGGTATTAGGCATTGGGATTGCTGGTGTGCAGTGCTATTAACTGACTTGTTAAGTAAGGACTGTTGAAACTGTGCTAATATACAGTAAATCTCAAAAGTCTTGGATAAAGACTTGCATAAAGGTTGGAAAGAGCCTTGGGTGCCATGGTTTAGTGTGAGGTGTCCCTGCCCATGGCAGGGGGCTTGGAACTGGACAATCTTAAGGTCCTCTCCAACCCTAACTATTATATGATTCTAAATTACACTTCTGGCCCCTTCTGAGCCTTAAAACTGTACTGGAAACAAGTGCAGCCCCTTAGGAGAGCCAGGCTAAACCTCACTTTAATCTTTACCATTCAGATACTTTTTTCCCCTTTTTTTACTAACCCTGAAATTACCTTTATTTCCCCCCCTCCCCTTCTGGTTTGTTTCTGTTTGGTTTTGGTTTATTTTGGTGGTTTCTTCCTCTCAGAAAATGAATGCCTTAAGATTATATCCTTGTTTCTGCCTTGCCAAAACTGTAGAGATGGTAGCGGGGCCGGTGAAAGACAACCATACTTTTTCAGCTGCAAGAAAAGATCTGATACACCAGATCTTGTAATCTCATCTAAAAGTTGGCTGGGAGACTAAATAGAACCCAGTCTAGTGCCTACTCTTCCTTTTGGTTTTTTGATGATGACAACAGACACCGCTGAATAAGAGAATACTGGGTTAGAAGGGACCTCAAGGATCATCTGGTCCAACCTTTTTAGGCAAAACATGACCTTTACTAGATGCCCCAGCACCCTGTCCAGCTGAATCTTAAAAGCATCCAACCACTGGGTACTCCACCACTTCCCTGCGGAGATTATTCCAATGGTTCATTGTTCTCACTGTGACAAATTTGCCTCTTGTGTTGAGGCAGAATCTCCTGAGGATTAACTTGTGCCCATTGCCCCTTGTCTTTTCCATAGGACTCCTTGTAAAAAGGGGGTCCCCAACGTTGTTGTAGTCACCATCTGAATACCAGAATATGGTGATAAGGTTTCCCTGGAGCCTTCTTTCCTCTAGGCTGAACAAACCCAGTTCTCTCAGCCTTTTTCTCACATACCAGGCTTTCCTGTCCTCTGATCATCTTTGTGCCCTTCTCTGGACCCTCTCCAGCCTGTCCACATTGGTTTTGTATAGCCAGGACCAAAACTGAACACAGTATTCCAGGTATTGCCTGACAAGCTCTGAGTAGAGTGCAATGCTTCTCCATATCTGCACAGGATGCTGCCCTCTGCTTGCTTTGAAGACATTTGCCAGGTAACTGTTCTGGCAGGCAGCTCTCAAGCACAGCTCCGAATGGTCTAATAGATCTTTTCCATTTAACAACTCAGCCCCTGTTAATAGTTTGACGTTCATTTGTCTTGCTGGGATATTTACCAACATTTCGGGTCTAGCAGAAATTCAATATTCAGCGCAGCATTTTCTGCTGCTGAGCTCTTACAAAAGGAGAAATCAATATTTGGCAAATTTAGACGTGAAAAGAGCATACATTTTCTCAGAAACTTGTATTTAAAAGGATTCTGTTAGAGAAAAGAAGTATTTTAAAGAATTCCAGCCCAGAAGTGCCCTCTTAAAAAAAGCTTTCTTGATTGAATGTCTGTTTTCACTCAACCTACCAAGCCTCTCAAGTTCATTGAGACTTGTTCATGCTTTCCCCATCCTCTACTGCCCAGCTCTCAGACATACTCAGGCCATCTCAAGCACCTGTGGGGAAGCATTGCTTCCACTCCTCAGACTTGGGCTGTGTTTAGCCCTGCAGCTTTTATCAGAGGGATCCTGCACAAGGAGCTTCCCCAGGTGACAGACCTTCCCTCTGCTCCTGCTGCCTATCGCAGCACCACGGTGCACTACCTGCCTGCCCTCCCTGCTCTGCTTTCGTGCCACCCAGCCCATGTGGTTCAATTGCACGAGTGTTTGGGTGATGGGATTGTTGGCTTGCTAAGATGGGAGAGCTTCCCCAGGTGTCAGTTTGCCTTTGTTCTCTAGCTACATCATTACTAATGGCCAGGATGAGAGATGTAACCAATATAACGTGCTGTTGACATTGTATATGCTTACTATTGTGCTTACCATCCTGCCTTGGCTATTTGAGCCTTTATATAACCTTGCTCTTGGGATGCCTGTGAGAGAGGCTGACTGCACAGCACCCCAGTCCAAAGCCAGCCAGCCCATACTGGGAGCATCACAGGCTATTCACCACCAAGGGCCACAGTTGCTTTCTCATGTTTGCCTCTCTCTGCTGTTGTGCTGTTGTACTGATATACTGATCTGAGTGCATGCACAGACAACCATACGTGACACAGTAATTCAGAGAATAAGCCAAATAAAGCAACCTCTTAGAGCAGAAGATACCAACATAACAGCAAATCAAGGCAAAAACATCTGTAGGGATGAAGGGGAAGGAGAGCTCAAGTATGTTAGCATACCTGAACAATCACCCAGGTAACACTGTGCCTAGTTGACAAATGCTGACTTGCAAAAGTAAAACCCATCTCTGAATCATACAAATGCAAGAGGAAATTTCAGATCATTAACTTCTACTTTTACTTCTCTTGCATCAGTGACCAACAGCTCCCAGACACAGGCTTTACTGGGTGTTTTTTCTCTTGCTGCTCCCTGTTGACTGTTGACAGACCCACTGTTTAACACCCATTCAGTTTTGGGGCATTGGAAATATGTTTTCCAGATTGCTCAAAACAGCAGAACATATTTTCTTTTTCAATGGGTAGCATTTTTCTGATTCAGTTGTACCTCAGCAATTGTAAAGTAGTTCCTAAGACACTAGAAAGGGATTAGAGCAAGGAACTAAAGATGGGGAAGTCTTCCATCATGAAATACCAGCTCACACTTTCGTGCTACATGGGCCCACAGGCGGGACTTCACTTTCAGAACCAGAGCCTTTGGCAGCAGTTGAACACCAAATGCCTTCAGGGATGCTGCACTGCAATAACAGTAGTTCCAAAACACTTTACCTGCTTGTTGAATGTTGGCCATGGTTTCCTAACACAGGCAGCATGGTCATTTTGCACTGGGGCACAGAGGTCTTGATGACCAAGGTGCTTACCTGTAACCTGCAAAGTGCCAACATAAGCTTACACATCTGGGTGAGATAATGGCAATGTGCATGCCAGTGGTGGTGGTATATATGCAACGGTTCTATGTCAGAAGTTGGAAGAATGGCCTCAAATTCTTCCTAAGAATCATGGGGTTATTTATTAACATTTTAACTCAATGCAGCTGAAAAAAATGTAATGTCAGTATTTATATGCAAAAACCCTCAAACAGCATATTTCAGAAGCTACTGCTTTCAGAACCAGACAGGAGTGTTACCTTTCCAAGTGCAAGGAAATGGGCAGCTGGCGTAAGCCCCTTACCAAATACTCTCACAGTGGTGCTGCTCTTCTGGACTCTCTCCGGATGGGACACCACATGGCAGGAAAACACCTTGCCATTGTCTGTGATTTTGATGGGGAAAATCTTTAGGGCATTATTCAAACGCAGGTGGACTCTCTGCCCATAGAGCATGCTGCTGTTCCTGTACACTGCAGGACAGGAGGGCTCCTTGGTTACAAGTTCCTCTTTCGTGCCGTTTTCCTCCTGTACAAAGAGAAACCCACACAATACGTGAAGACCAGAATCTCTCCATTCCCCTATCTATTTTTATAGACCAGCTCTATTCCCACTGTGAAAATCTTCCCTTGCATCCCTAGCATTGCATAGCAGTAAGGGGGCATTTACAACATCTATTTCTTTCCAAATACATTCTCTCTCAGAAGTTCAAAGTCAATAGTGGTCATCATCTTAGCAATAACTATAGAGTAAATAGCAGTGTCTTGTAAGTCCTGATCTCTGTAGCCTGCAGAGAGGGCCTCAGGGCTGCTTTCTCACTGCAGCAATCTAAGTTATGCTGAACATCCTACACATAGCAAATATGACTGAAATTCCAAGAAAAACCTTGGGGTTTTAGATTTTAAATAGTGAGAACCTGATAACATTATCTAAAAGTCATCTTTTAATGCCTACGTGGCAGCCACCCTTAGATATAGGTGCAACCTGCACATCCTGGATGTCTGTGCCTCAGTACCTATTTGCAAGCTGTAGTCTGAATGACTCATGGTGACCCACATGTATCATCATGCTGACCTTTGGATTCTTTCCTTTTCACTAAAAAGTAGTAAGGGCAAGGATGTTCCCTTCAAAGAACTGGTAGAATTTTAATCTGAAGAATGCACTGCAAAAGGCAGCTCTGAATAGAAAATGAGCCAGGACAAAAGACTGAAAAGCCTAAAGCATTTGAAAATCACCTTTAAGGAACCCCTCAACTGTTACAGCACCTCAGTGACAATAAATAGACATGAACAGGGTCAAGCTCAAGGACACTGGTGGCTGGTACTTATCTCTATGTATTGAGATTAATGCTAAAACATTCCATTAAAACACGCACATGTAAATATTTATCCAGAAAGTGGGATGCAGTACAGAAATCTAACGAGCTTTATAGCTCACAGCAAAGTGTTTAAAATAGTATTTATGTGGTTAGCTAGATAACCAGGTTCGCATGTGTCGGCGTGTATCTGTGATACAGAGGTTAACCAAAACATTACAGTGGCCTCCTTTTTCTCTTCTTCCTTTCTATTTCAAAGCTGCTTGATATCTCACAACCCTACATGGTAACCCTGTGTTTTTCAGAGATACCAAAGCTTCCCTACAGAAACAATCCCTGGGAAATCCAACATAAGGAATAGTTTATTTGCTAAGTCCTTTGGCACTTTGCACGGACCTGTTCTACAGGCATTACTGAAAACCTAAAAGCAATTAAGATGGAGTTTTGCCTCTCTGTTTCTTGAGCATCTCTTGTTTGTGGTGTCTATGTTGCAAACCCATGTTTATACTTTTCCCCTTTATTATCGCAGTCCAACAGTGCCAATATCTTTTGTTTGGCGGGTTCTGCAGGACACGATAAAGTCTGACATTTCTATTTCCATCTGCAAAACTACCCCGTAGTCCCCTCTGAAATGTAAGCCTGAAAGGAAGAACACTTACCACGAGCCATTTCAAAGGGTAACGGGACAAACTTTCTGAGGCCCTGTCCCCAAGGCATGGGATTTCCAAAGTCTGGTTTAACCACACTTCCTTCACGTTGTGCTGCTCCTCTTTTATCATTGCAATGACAGCAAAAAAGCCAGAGAAGGAAAATCAGAAACATGACATGCGTTGTGCTTTAGAAAACAATATTGACTAGTCTACTGTTCAAGGAACAGGCATTTTTGATTAGAAGACTACTGTAATTTTCAACCATCACCCACAGGCACGTGTGTTAAGTGAAATCTCTGCATCTGATTCTAGATGCAGTTTCATGACTCTAATTCACGGCTTTACCTGAAATTTTGGACATTTCATGAAAACCTGTGCTTCAATTCAGGATCAAGGTGTCTCATTTTGGAGCTGAGAACAAGTTGAAACTTCAATTTTTCTCCTTTTTTCTTTTTCTTTCTGTGGCAATAAACCTTCACATCAATTTTGTGCTCTTGTATTTCCTTTTCTCTGAAAACCTCCTTTCACAAAGCAAGGTGTTCAGCACATCAGGTAGGTTGAGACTGACCCTGGTTTTCAGTGTAAGTGCTCCTGTTGTTATTCTCCAACCTGCCCATTATCAGGAGCAGAGAGCTTGCCACTCTTTCCTTTGTCACCAGTTCACAAAAGCATTTGAATACCCCCTACCCTACCCCATTCCCAGTCCAGGGCTCCAGACCACCTGTGGAAGGGTCAGAGTGATGCACTGATCAGAGCACAGCGGTGGTCCAAGCATCAGGTCTGCATATGCGTGTGCACTGAAACAGGAAGAGAAGCAGTGATGGCCAGGGGATGCTACAAGTGCCTTGGTGAGCATTAATCCCTCTGACCATTAGTGGCCGCACCATGCAGCCTGCCCTGCTGCCATCACTGTGCTGCCCAGACCTGCCTTCCCTCTTCCTTCTAGGCAGGTACCAGCAGACACCACAAGGAAACTCCTGAACATTGCTCCCCTTTTAGCTCTACTTGTATGGTGAGATAAAATAGATGCATATTCTATCTATCTTTTTCATCTTGAGGGGAAGGGCAATATCTAACAGGTCTGGACTGTTTGGTAGTGGGGACTTGCTGGTGACTGTAACTTCCTGTATGTCTGGCAACCAAGCACAGAGTGACACTGCCAGCACACAGCCTGTGCCACAGGAACATAGAGAAAGGCAGTGCTCAGTGGTGCCCTGGAGCAGCTTCTCTCCACTTTCCACCAGAGCCAAGCAGTTGAGGAGCCATCTATCACAGTGGGACATGGCATGCACAAGGACTAAAGGGGCTGGATAGTGCAGAAAGGAAAGAGAAAGGACAAAGAAAGCAAAGCCATGGCTTCCCAGGAAGAAAACAGCACAGGAGACTGCTGGGACAAGCTACTGTGCAAATGTGCCACGGAGCTTGCAGGAAGTATGAAGATGAGTAGTTGCACCAACAGTTCAGCCTGCAGAGAGCCTCAGCCTGTTCTCACAGTCACGTTTCCCAGGTGCTGCTTCCCCTGTCTTTGATTTCCATCTCCATTAACAACATGTTGGCTAAGGTCCTCCTTGTTTGTCAGTCCTACCTTGGCCTGTTGCTCTGCGGGCTTTGCAGTGTCTACAAGTTGAATCCATCTGGACTCACACCACTTTGATGTAGTCGGATACTGTACTTCATTAATGACTAGTACTCTTCTCCACCCCACTTGTAGGTTGGATTGAGATCCTTTGCCTTTTTTCTGAGTTGAAGTGATTTATTTCAAAAGTTCTGGTTACCTTAAAACACACATCTTCAAGAGGTATGTTGAGAACTGATTTTTCTTAGTTCTCCCTAAGCAAGCAGTTACTGGTAGCACAGCTTGCTACATCATGTTGTTACTGAAAACAGCCACAATGATGTCTATATGAACAAGAATTGCCCATGTTTAACATGGTGACAACAATAACAGCATTGAGCATGCCAGTATCAACCGAGAGCACCAGCAAGAGAGAAGGAGCAATGCCTAATTAGCACTATTATTGTATTAATGAAGAGACAAACTGCATGAGAACAGAAGCTGCATGTGGTTACCAGCACTACTTGTACCTCACTGCTCTCTGCTTGATCCAGCCCCTTTGCCCTATGAAGCTCAAGAAAATTCCCAAAGGGAAGCTAACCGCAGCATACCCCTGTATGTCAGGTATCATCATCCTTGATGCTGTTATCCAGCATGTGTTGCATCTTTATGGGTTGCGCAGACGTGCTGGCACTAATTTTGCCTTTCTAAGTTTATCAGGGCAGAAGGGTGCTGCTGGGTTGCCCCTGAGGTTTGCCTCTGGGATAACAGCACCAAAATGCTTTAAGCCACTGCCATGCAGGTGCCATCAGGGAGCAAGGGTTTGGGGTGAATGTCTCTGTGAATGAGGCTTGCACAAGGCCTCCTCCTGCTGCTGGATGAATGCAACCCAGCATGGGGACCAATGTCCTTCCTGCCACTAGTCTGGCCTCACACAGGCCAAAGAGGTGGTGGGAGCACTGCTGCCCTCTGCTACCCCAACATCACCTACACCCATCCTGCTCCTAACCAGGGTGCTGTATCTACAGCCCTGGGCACAAGCAGAGCAAGCATATTGGCCTTGTAGCTCTTAACTGAAACCATGCCAGGATTTAGTTTAATCCTTCTTGGCTTGTTAACAGAAACCTGGGTCAGGAAGAGGTTTCTGGGGGCCATCAAATCCAGTCCCCCATGCGCACAACAGCAAGCTTGCCCAGCATCCCTGCCCAGCTCCATCTTCACAGCAGTTTGGCCTTTTGCCCTCACTGCTGGCATTAAACAGCTGTTCCCAAATTGCTGCCCTAAATGGTTGCCACTCTTGTTTAATTTGTAGTCAAATCCACTCACGTCCTGTTTAAACCCATTTGTTCCTTTGCCAGGATAATTTAAATATCCTTCCTGGAGTTCACACTCTCCCCTGAGGCTTACTTACCAAGAGCAGTCATGCTGCTTTCCAGCTTCCTTTTGGCTGACGGAAGCAGCCACGTCTCTGTTCCTGTGATTGTTCCAAGCAATTCCCTACTTTGCTCTGGTTTGTTTTTCACGGTGGGACACATCCCTCCATGGAGCTAACACCTAGCATGCCCAGCAGATGCCAGCTCTCAGCCTCAGTCAGACAAAGCTCTTTTTCTGGTGCTCAGTGCTGCATGCCCATAGTAGCAGAACAGCATGGTTTGGTGATCCGGCATCCTCCATCACCTCTGCATCCAGAGATCCAGCATCCAGTCATCTCTGCAACATTTTTCTCCGTAATGAAAATGGGAAACTGCCCATCTCACCATTCCTATCTCACTTTGCATTCCTCCAGATAAATAAGGTTTCCTAATCATGAGCTAGGTAACAACAGCTAGAGAGTGCCTGGTAAGTAGGAAACCGTGTAGGCAGTGGTGTTCAGTGGCAGCAGTGCAAACCCCAAAGAAGTCACCATCAAAGACTAAGAAATGTTAATCTATCCTGATATTCCCTCACCCCTTTACCCCCACCCCCTGTTACAAAAACCCCAGCATCCCATTCAGAACCACTTACCTTCTGCCTTGACAATAAGTTGGATTTTTGCAGCCTTTGTCCCATAAGGGTAAGTAGCAAAACTGCACTCATACTGCCCGCTAAGGGAAATGGTAACATTCTTCAGATGCAGAGCCCACCAAATGCATTCACACTTGGCATTTGGATCAGGGGAACAGCAAGCCTCTGTCTCATCCCAGCTGCAGCAATTCCTCGTGCTGAAGGACACCGAAAAGTTGTAAGAAGCCTCAGGAAGGGTGAAGTAGTGGGTGCCATAAACAGGGTGATAAACAGCTATTCTGGTAAGCTGTGTGTCATCAGTCTTGGACCACTGTGTCTGTATGATGTAGGTGGAGTGTGGTTTTGGGAAGTCGCACACCAGGGTCACATCAGTACCTGGCAAAGCGTGGACCACTTCTGTTTCTGTAATGACATCTTCGGGCTGGCCTTAAAAGCAAATGGGACAATTTTCAGTGCAAGTAATGTTTAAACAGAGCATTTTCCTAAGCCATGCAGACTCTGCAACTGTAGAAACAGGCTTTCCAGTGGAGAGGTTTACAGATCTCCACCAGCAGAGACTTCAGAGTGAGAACAGGGAGAGCAAACACACACTTGTCTGGAAGAGGGCAGGGAGCTCCCATCACACTCACAGGAGAGAAATGGGAACCCTAAGTCCCTGTGTGAAAATGGAAATCTTTCATGTGATATAAATAAAGCAGAAGCCGGGCCCAGTTATGCCCCAGCAAATTTTGCAAGAACAAGTGAGTTATCCCTGCTGCCCTGCACTGTCCCTCCTGCCCGTTGCCATTGTCTTCACTGCTTTGACAGAGAAACCTTCTACCTCTGTGTTATTAACAGCTCCTGCATGACCTGAACAAGTGTCTGTTTCGGTGTCAGAGCAAGCTGTATGGTTTCTTCCTCATTTAATTTCATACAACATGTTGGCAGTCCTTAGTGTGTCATATAAAGGAGTAATGGATGGGTGAAAATGAAGGGGCTTTCAACAGGAGCCTGTACTACTCAGTTTTGCTGCTGCTGTAGTAACATTGATTTCTATCTGTTTCTCCCTCCTATGAACAAGAAGCTCACAGTCCCCAAACCCCTGTATGGAGGGCACTGACAGACTCAAGGAGATGAAGAATTAATGGATGGGGGAGTTGTAATCAGACAAGTAATCAATCATAGCCACAGAGCTTTTTACAAAAGAGCATCTGAGTCCCCATTAAAAAACGTGCTTGTGCAGATGTCCTTAGGTACAGATAGCTGCTCCCCATATGCATTGAATTTTACCCTCCCTGTGTATCAAAATACCACTGCAAATTTGCTTTGGGAACATGTCCCACAGTCCCACCAGCCATGATGCTGACTCCCCAAGGCAGCAAGCGCACGCTGCTCATCTTCCTTACTTGCTAAAAGTGGGTACCAATTTCTTTGCTTTGACATCTGCTTTACCCCGTGGTACAGGGCTCTGGGATACCTGAATCCAGGGACCCCCCCAGGGACCAGGCAGCCTTGATGATGCCTTCAGGTGGCCTGGTGTGCCCCATACTCAGCCAGCACAGTCAGGACTGAGACAGGGACCTGGTGCACCCAGAGCTCTGGTTTGACAGGGAAGAAGAACACGGGCACAGTCCCACATCCCTGCAGAGCTGGCTGAGATTTGGTACCTAAGCACTGAAGGGCGACATGAACTAAGTGCATGGAGAGCAAAGCTACTCGATGGCCATGCCCAACACTAATCTCACTATTTTTATTGCTGTGCATGCTCTGTTCATCTTTTAATTGAGTCCCAAGAGATGGGATGATGTAAAAGGGCAAATAAAAATAAGCCTGAGTGGCAAGTGCTGTGAGAAAAATTACTGAAAACTATTTCTGTCAGTCCAAAGAGCTTATTATAGCAAATGCTCATGGATTTCACTGCAAGTTTTGCATCAGGAAAAGTTAAGGAAAAAGCCAACAGCAATCTTGCAATCAGACTAGCCAGCAAGGGCCACCTAGCAAATTAGCTCTCATATTCACACCGATGCTGTAACAAGTTAAAGCACCATGTGAAGAATGCCTACCAAGAGTTACTCAAATAATTGATATGAAGATGAAAACGTTACACATGTAGAAACAACATTTAATTTGTGTTGGTCGTTAGTAGCCTCGCACTTCAGATTAACTGAAACCCATTGATGTTAAAGTGTTCTTAGGTTTTTGTTAGCATCTCAATATAATGAGTCTCATTTTATGCCAACTGGATTTTTCCAAATGCAGCTGCCCATACTTGTGCTCCATTTGAAGCTTAATAGTGTAACTCCCAAACGTGTATACGTCTGATCTCCATCAAGGGCACAATGGTGTCCATTTTGAGTGGAGGATTTCATCCTCAGAGGAAAAACCCAACAGTCCTATTCATCCCTAAAAGAGCATTGCTTTCCTGCATGTGCATGTCTTGAGGAGTCTAATTCTTTCTTATTATGCTTTTCTTTTGCATTAGGGAACTTTTATTTTCTATGAATACACATACTAAATACTTCCTTTTAAAATCCATTTTGCCACAGTGATGTAGAAAAATAGGAGGAGATTTTGAGATGCATCTTACCACAGCAGTCAAACACGTTAATCTGTTCCTTTCTTAATTGGAAAAACGTGTATCCTACAAAGTTCTTCTTCCTAGCTGGTCATAAGCACTGCTGCATTCAGCATGGCCAGTCTGTTGTAAGAGGTCTGTGTGGAGGGGATTGCAAGCATCAGGCTTTTTCCTGGTTTTCCTTGGGTTGTTCTCGTTTAAACTCCCTTGGAGAAGGATGTGTTTCTCCTTACTCAACTTTCCTGACTGTTTTACTCCCACTGACAAACTTGTTTCTCTTGTTTCTCAAGCTTTTAACACAGCACATAGGGCTGGGTGGGGAAGAGGAAGGGAAGGATCTATTTAAGGGGTTGCAGCTGTACAATTTACCCTTGCCTTGAAGTGTTTCAGCTCTTTCTCTCTCTGCGTACACAGGTATGCATGTGTGTGTAAGAGAGAGATTTTTTATTTGCTCTTTAAAAGCAGATTTCCTGTTTGCCCATTGGAGATGAGCCCAAATTGCCCTAAATACAACTTAGCTCATCTCAGTGATAATTCTGGTGAAAACATGGTATTTTGAATAAACTAATCTGCATGTCAGTGCAACCCATTTAGTCCTTACTGGCTGCACATTATAACTGGGGTTACTAGGAAGTTGTCAGGAAACAGAAAATCACTGCTAGCAGCTACAGCTTGCCCTACTGAGACATGCTGAGCCCAGCCTGCACATTCCACCCTGCCCCTTGCCACCCTCTGTCATAAGCTGAGTCAAGGGAGCCCATTGGCATGCTTACCTGCGATGCTGGCCACCAAGAGCAAACAAAGGAGGGAGAAGAGACACCTTTTTCCCATCCTCACCCGGTGATGCTTTGGTAAACACGTAGCTCTCTTGGCCTGCTCCTTGCAGTGTCTCTGAAAAGGAAGTTGAAATGATCTGCCCTGTGCAGACAGGCAGATGTGCAGCACAGTCACGCTCATCATTTTAATGTGACTTCAAAGAAACGCTTCAGTAGATGTGAAAGCCTCAGTTTCCTGCCACAGTGATAGAATTAGCACATCTTGTGAAACCTTTATGTTGAAAACACTACCTGTACTCTAAGCCCATGTTGAAGACCTGTACTTCCTGTACTTTGTCTTTTTAAATAAGCTCAGAGTGAGCAGTTTACTGGTTCGCAGTCTCTCCACCACTTGTCTGGTGACTAAGGTTGAATATAGGGTACGTAGTGTACAAAAAAAGGGGACTTTTTTGCCTGCTTCTTTTCCTTCACTGTGTTAGTCCAAAATAGCTCAAGTATGTTATTCCCACATTCTCTACACTCAGGTTAAAATTATGCTGGGTTTAAAAACCCTGGCATAACAACAAAACCAATGCACCTACATTAAAACAGAATAAATTGAGAGTTTTCCAGCTTCACCTTATTTATTCTTTTCTTTTCTTCAGAGAAGGAGACCATTAATTATTTTGGGCAGGATGAAGAATCACAGCACCACACAACACCATCACTTGGCGTGGTTAACCCCTGCTCCTACTCCATTCAGCTGACAGCTTTGGTAATGGCAGCACCCTCAGGCATGGACTGGTTCCTGCTAGTCCTGTGACCTGTCTTTATTGCAGGACAAGCCTAAATCCTTCCAAACTGTCCTTGAAGCACATCACGTTTCCATGAACTAGGCATACACCTATCAGCGATGCATCTCATTGCAGGCAAGTGCTATGTAAATCGGACTCGGTGTTGTGGCTTTTCAGAAAGCCAATTACAGCCCATCCATCAGGGCATACAAAGCGTGTGTCCTGGATCATGGAATCAGAATGATTTGGGCTGCAAAGGACCTTAAAGCTCATCCAGTTCCAACCTCCCTGCCATGGGCAGGGACACCCTCCACAAGACCAGGTTGCACAAAGCCCCAGCCAACCTCATAGTCCCTCAAACAGGCACCTGTATCCACTACCAGTGCCCTCCCTTGAGTGCACGATCTGGGTCTTGACATGTTGTTTCTGAAACAACTTATAGGAGACCTTGGTGCTTTTGTTGGCCACTTTCTTCAATGATAATCCTCTCTGCATGTCAGACAAGGCCTATGGAAAGTGCCAGCTGATACCTGCAAACTTCTTTCCAGCCACTTTCCATTTCCTTCCCCTCTGTCTGCTTTCACTGACCATGGAGCTCTCCATAACTCCAGCATGCAAGGCACTGAGCTCAAGGTAAAAAAGCAAAACCTCACTGGTCCTTTCTTTACTTTATGCACTACCACAACATCTATACTGCTTCCCTTATTTGTCCATATGCAACCTCTTGTTAGTGTGTTTAAGCAGGCTAAGGTCTTCAGCTGGAACAGCTTATAGTGCTGGCCAGGCTATGGTCAGGCATTCAGACATGTCTTTAGGGGATAAATGCTGCTGCACAGCTCCTTTTTGGTTTGCATTGCTCCCCTACCTGAGGAAATGTGTTAAAAGCAGTCGTAGTGCTGGATGCAGGGGTTACTGCTAAGGGAATTGTCTCTGAGGATGAAATCTCTGCTTGTTACTCAGAAGCCTGACAGAGAAAGATCTGCCTCAGAGGATCTAGAAGTCCTGAAGCTGAAGATGAACAGAATAACCAAGCCATTGTAACTGACAGCCACAGAAGGGAGTAAATGTTATTAAAGATGCGTGCTCCGGTTTCCGATTCAGAGCAGAGAGCACAAAGGACCCAGAGTTTACCTGCAGACACCAGAGTCCAACAAAATTGGACTTCAGTTTAGAATATGGGCTTTCATTAGGGAGTGCAGTTACCTTAGCTTCTCCTGCTGATCAGTGCATGTAAGCTTTGTACCAGCAGAGAATGTACTTTGTGTAACATGTGGAAGAGAAAAAAGTCTCAGATGAGCCTTTTTATTGATCCGAAACATGCATCACCATTCAACAAGACAGGCCAAGTGCCATGCGGTATAATTCAATAGCCACAGAAATTCCTGAGCAGCTTGTTTGAGTTACAAGATAGCTGTGTTTTGCCCTTAGAATTTGTTTCCCCCCCCACTAAAATAACACCCTAGAAATACACTGCTGCCATATTGTGTTGGCTGAATGCAGCCACCCAGAGTTGTTGCTGTGCTTAGAGATGAAACACAAGAGAGAAACCTCCCAGCTCAATGAGTTTTTATCTACTTCAGAATGTGTTTTGCCCCAGTTCCTACCTTAATCCCAGAGTCTGAAATAGTCATTCACTCCTCTGCTGACATGAATGCGAATGAACAGCTAAGCCCTGCCTCTGAACACGACATCAAGAAACACTTTTGAGATACATCGCTTAAGTCTGCTGCCAGGGTCCTATCTCTTCTCTGCAGCCAGATATGCGATCCCACTCACAGCAGTGCCAATTATTATGAGAGGTTCCTCCCCACCAGCCCTCTCCTGAGAAGTTACTCACAGGCAGCTTGGTAGGTGCCAAGATGGGGTGTTATATACAGAAGGGATGAGAAAAGATGCTGACACATGCCCAGGCACAGTGGACCTCATTGGTAGCTGGAGGGAGGACATGTCTGTAACTGTCTTTTCCTTGACGGGGCAGCTGCAGGGATGTTTGTCTCAGAGGTGGGATGCAGGGCTGTTTCCATCATGGTACACATGCTGTTCCAGAGAGACCCAGAAACCATTGCAAAGCTAGGAGGTTTTAAAGGAAACGAGGCTCCACCCAGACAAACAACATGTTGTCAGGGCATACGTGAAGTACGATGCTTTCTTTTGGCCTGGGCAAGCAGCTGGCCTGACTGGTCCTCCCCTGCATCCCAGGCGGTGGCAGCACAGGCAGGATCCGATGCGCTATGAGCATCACACGTGTTGGGGCCCTCACAGTGCAGACTGGGGCTCTGCCCACTGCTTAAGGATGCCTCTGCTGCCTCATAAGATGTTTTTTTGAGCTCTATAAATGACTCTTTCCATGACAATCACCCCTATTATGCATCATACTCAAACCCCTGGACTGCGACTGCGATACAATTCTTCTGCCTCAATCCCAGCGAGCTGCACCTAAGGATCAGAGCTGCAGTCAGTCCCACAGAAGAGGAAATCCTGATCTCCAGAGACAAATTCAATTATTCACAAAGAGTGCCTGCTCAGAAATGCTAACGTGCGAGCTCTTCCTGCCGGAGGCGAGGATGATTACCCTTGCAGACTGCTGTCCTCTAAACACTGCTTAAAGAAAACGCTGCTCCCCAGTGAAAGAAAGACGGAGACTTTGAAGCAGCAATTTCATTAAAGGGTGATCTAACCTGAGCTAACCTAGTGGTTTGGTTTTGAACTTCTTTGGAAAGCATCCTAATAACATTGTAGCTGGCAGGCAACTTTGTCCACGGCACCCAATGGAGGGGTGGATGATGGGGTGGGCAGGGGCTGGGGGTCAGCATGGCGAGCGGCAGTGGGATCCCCACTGGGCTTTTTCAGTAACCTCATGCTTCTTGTGCATCTCTCCTGCTTGCAGCACTGCCTCTTCTATGTGGGGGAGGAGGAAGAAGAGGGTTTCTTATTCTGCTTCTTCCTTCTCCCTCATGGTTGCACACACACATCCACAGGCTGCGTTTGACATAATGCAGCCCCATTTAAGCAGCATGGCAAGGCTTACATGCTTCCCTCTCAACAGCACTTTTTCCATCTGGAAGATGTTTAAAGACCTGAGCGGACTTTTTATCCCTCCTCTCTCACTGACAGCTCAAAGTAAGAAAGAAAACCAAGAACAGCTCACTCCCAGCTGCCTTCCTGCCCCAGCCCTGCCTGCACTGGCGCTGGGGCTGCTCCATCACCTTCCCACCTCTGCTGCTGCTGCTCCCAGTGCCAACACTATAGCAAAATCCAAGATGACCCTTCCACAAATGTTTGATTTGCCATTACATCCTACAGACATTCTGGGGCCAAATCCAACAGGATGATGGCTCTTTAATTACGCCTTTAGCTCATCTGACTGGTAAATAATTGCTTTCTTCACTCTGTAAGCAAGAAACTTGATTTTGAATGACTTTACAGCGCTCCAAGAGAGCAAGTCAGAATGAATGCATAGGCAAAGGCTACAGCTCTAAATCCTCTCTTCCTGGTGTCTGTGGGAAAGATCTCTTTGTGCCTGCTTCATGTTTAAAAAGCCTTTCAGATAAGGCAACGGGATACAGGAGGATCACAGGGAGTGATCTGGTGCTGAGTTCCTATGTGTGCACAGCTCTGTCTTCCCATTTCTGTGATACAAGAAAGGGACTGTGAAAGCTGGCAGTGGTTTTTCTAATTAGAAGGCCTCACTTATGTTTATGTTTTGGAGAAAGAGAGCGTACATTTGGGGATAAAGGGAGGAGAATCAGTTCCCTCACCTTCTCTGTCATCCCAGCCACACACCCCTGTGGTCCTCTGCTCCCATTTAATGCCATCTCTGATTGGTGATGGTCCATTAGGGTAAGCTATTGAGCATCACGTTGTGCAAAGCACAAAGTCACTGAAAAAGCAGAGTATACAAATAGCAACCAGTGACCAAAACAAATACAAAGAATGTTGACTCAACAACCACACAGCACCAAAAACACCCTGCATGAAAGCCAAACAAGTAAAATAAATAAAGAAAGACTCTATAGGGTTACTGCTTTCTAGATGAAATTGAAGGTACATGTGAGACCAGCCCTGCTTTCTTAGGTTGCCTTCTCTTTTCCACCTATAACACACACTGCGCTGTTTTGCACAGCATCACCTAAAGCTTTTTCACTTGTACATCTCATCTCCCGCTGCTGAGATTATGTTCGTGAGCACATTAATAACTGTGCAACAAAATTTAATGGCACCCATAGTTTTAAAAGACTTATTTGTTAGGAAAGGGTAACCCACTGCCAGCACTGGGAATCATCTGCTGGTGTTAGGCTACCAGGTGGATGTTTCCACTGAAGCCTCCCAGAAGGGCCATGTCATACCCTGGTCACTTCAGCAGGAGCTTCAGAGACAGTGCTTGGAGCAGCTTTCATGAATCATGCCAGCAAGAGAGAACAGCAGCCTGCCTGAGAAAGAGCTTTTCATAAACACAGCTTATGGAGCTTCATCTTGAGAGCTGCATGAAAGAAGGCTATCGAGACAAGCAACAGACCACTCTGTCAGAAACTAAAAGCTTAGGTTCACGTCCAGAGTGCTGTAAACCTAGATGGGTTTTACTCTGCAGACTAGCTCTAATGGATATCTTTGCCTGATTAGTTTAAAGTCTTCCCTGTTATTGTATGCAAATACCTTCCTGCAGACACACAGCTGCCTGGCGAGAGCTCAGCATAGCAGACTGCTTAGAATCCACCACTGAAGAAATACATCAAATAGGAAGGACTAAGGGTGTGAAAGCTAACTTCAGATACAGTAGCAGTGACAATTTGAGGGCAGCAGCTCTTTTCATTATAAAATAATAAGACAATTTACAGCAATAAAAGGCTAAGTTACAGTGACATTGAGAGCCATAACTTGGATTTTGTTTTCTTGGACAGAACACTTTGAAAGCATCAGATGTTAATGAGTTTGTTTGCAAGCAGTATCTTTGTAGCCTTATAAATACCTTTCATGCTATCAGCATGCCAGAAGCAGTCACAGGAAAGTGAGATATCTCTCCCATCACCAACCCATCCATCCATCATCTATCATTATTATCTATCGATATTATTATATATATTCCATATATATTCTATATAAAATATATATTATTATATCATCTATAAATTGCCCCCTACGCCCTAATTCTATGTCTCTTTAGAAAAGTGAAGTACAAATGAGAAAAGCAAAGCAGAGATTGATTTTCATGTTAAGCCCAGCTCTGCAGAGAAGAAACTGTACCTCAGTGGAGCTCATGTTTGGATTCCCAAAGTGGTTTAGCTTGGAGTCTTGCAGAGCAGGAAAGGTGAGGTGCACCTCCAGAAGGCAACACAGAGCTAAGTGCACTTATACAAGTGCTGCATCAGGCAAGTGCTTTCCTAAACCTGGGTATCTCAGTAGACTTTAACAGCCTGCAGTTAGATAGGATAAGCATTGGATGGGAGTAGCTGGAATATAAAGTAGAGAATAGGAAACTTCTGGGGTATTTTCACATAATGATATTTTCCAGGCCGTAAGGGGAGTAACATTAACTACTTCAGATGTGGTTCCTTTTGGTTCACTTTCTGCTCAAAGGCATAATGTGAACCTGCCCTAAGGAGCCTGCAAGGCCTTGTTCGTGCAGCAACGTGCGTTGAATACCTATCTCCTTCCAGAGCACTCTCAGCCAAGCAGCTGAAGAAAACGATGGGGAATTAAGATAGTTTTCAACAGATAACACCCCTTTCAGAATTCAAGATGAGCTCCTAAACTTTTAACCACCACTAAAATTAAGTGAGATTTCTAGCTTTTAGTTGGTTTGTAAGTGTCACCACCCATGTAAAATAACGTTCAGTTTCTGGCTGGGACTGTCACCTCCTGAAACAATACTAGTAAGGGCATGCACTGCTTCTTGCTTCAGTGACGCATCATATCTGTACTAGTGGGGATTTAAAAGAGTCACTGATCACACGTTCATTGTCCAAAGCAAAGGATGGACAATCACCTCATGAAAATCACCCCCCAGTGTCACTTGGGCTGGAGCTCTGGTTGCAAACCAAGAGTAAGATGGTAGTCACCTCCGTTAGACCTCCTCCCAGTTTGACCTCTTGTCCTCAATACTACTTCCATCTGGTCATTGATGTGTGACATACCTGCTCTCTGGAGCCCACTTGTGACCTACTGACACACGGGCACCGCTTGGCTGAACACTGCTCCTCCTCTTGCCTGAAATGAGGTTATGCTTTAACTTCTCTACACCTGATTAAGCTTAGCAATGCTGCTAATGGCAACAAAATCATTTGAGACCTCTACCAGAGCAGTTAACTTCTATTTTGCATGATTGCCTCTATTTCTGAAATGAATATGCAGCGGTTCAGTGGGTTTAAGTGCCTAACCAGAGCACTGGCCAAGTTGATGGGTGGCACCTGGGCTCTTCCAGACTCTGTGTCCCCAGAAGAGCGTTGCTGTGTAGACAAGGAAAACCACCTGTGCTCCCCAAGTCTTGTTTCCCAAAAGGATGAAGCCACCTTCTGCCCCTTGGAAAATCAATGATTCAGTAAATTAATTTCAGTCTGTTGCCATAATTGGATTTAAAAGAGAAAAATGAAGAAGCATCTTGAAAGACTTTCCTTAAAGTCAGTAAACTGCAGAACTGCACTGTGACTGAGCACAAATCAAGTACTTCTAATGGTATTTGACATTTTAATTGCAAACGAGGAAAAATTCCTCATTACAGAACTGAACCAAGTTGGCTTGCTGTGAATCAGACTCTCCAGAGGACACTTCCCTCCCCTACCCCCTGCTCAGCTGCACAGCAGCCGAGGCAGCAAACATCATGCAAACTAAGGCAGCCACAGCCATTACCAATCATTCTGTCTCTCCCTTTCAAATTGCACTGGCTCACGTGGTGTGTTTCTCTAACAGATGCTACAGTCCAGCAAAGAGCTTGTCAAGAAGGAAAAGAAAGCCCAGCAGAGTTGCATGAAGAAACAAATTCAGAAGTGCCATAGATCTGTTTGCAAGAAGCTGGATCAAAATCATTTCAGGCTCATTGCAGTGATTTACCTGAATACACCAGAGATGTATTTGGCTTGCAGTGCTCGTGCAAAGGCTTGGCCGTGGTCTTTCAGGATGCAAGAGAAAGCATTGGGCCTGGTGATGAGTGTAGCTGACCAGCTGCTCAGAGTGCAGGTACAATTTTAGAAGCCTGATTTAATATCTTGTTCTACCAGCAATGCTCATGGCTAAATGGGAAATAAAACTAATCTATCCTTATTGGATTTGGGCTGTAATCTCATAGCACCCTCAGATATTGGACTTCCCTGGCAGGCTTCCTGCTTTGCACTGGCTCTATTTCCCAGGAAGCTGAAGAACACAAGGTGGATAATGAAAGAAATGTAAGTTCAAAGAAAATTCACATATAGTTCAATGGTTTGAACAGTGGAAATTCTTAAAAACCCTTATATGAAACAAAAAGGGAAAGAAGCAGCCTATGGATAGGGCTTATTCACAGAGAAGAAATGTTTTATTATACTAACAAGGATTTTGCCCACCTGAAAACACTGGGTGCAGTAAATGTATTCCTTGGAATACTAGGATTGACTACTTTTCCTGCACATGCTCAGCCTTAAGGGATTGGCACCTACATCATACACTAGCTGTCCATAGGAAAGAACTAGGATTTTCTCAGGGAAGTAATCTACTGTTCAAGATATTGAACAGCGCAAGTGTATTAGCTATCTTATGTGTAGAATTATTATCTATAAAAACATTAACCAAAAAGGAGGCTAGATGCACTTAGTCTGGCTTTAGCACCGAATGAAGAATTAGATCTCCTGACGGGCTCTCCAGCATCCTTTCATGCATTTTTTAGCCATCTTTCACTATGGGTGACCTTTTCTTCTCTCATCAGAACCATGTTGTGCTACCCCTGAACTTGCTCATCCTGCAGTAGCTCAAGTAGTTGGGAAGTTCCTCTGGACAGGAGGTCCCAAGGCCGAGGAGAGAGTTACCTCAGGAAGACCTCACCTGCCACCTCCCAAAGGCAAGGTGAAAACCTGAAAAGGTTCCTGGTTTGTTTTGTTATTCAAACCCCTTGACCTCTCCTCAGGAAAAAAACATCACCCGTTTCCTATACAAAAAGACACAAGTTCCCATGTTAACAACAACAGGTTTTTCATAGGTCCTGGAGCATACCTAAAGGCTTGAAATTTACTGGTTCCCATATCCTAGGAAGCAGGATTTAACAACTAACATTTAAACACCATGAAGAAGCCTATATTATTTTTAACCTGGTCCCCCATGCTGCGTACTTTCTCTTTGGGAACCAGCCAAAATCTGTCTCGGGAGGTTGTTATTTTCCTCCAAGAGACCAAAATCAATTCATCAATCCGTAGCTTGGCAGCACCAGAACAGAAGATTAGGACTCTCGAGGCAGATTATAAACACAATCCCCTCAATTAACTTCTCTAGGATGAGCTAGAGGCGGTTAGATCCTTGTTAAGTCAATTATTAACACAGATGGTCAATGTGCATATTTTTTATGACAAATCATATTATGTGCATATTTTTTTATGACAAATCATATTCATTTCATGTGCAAAGCAGTGCACCCAGAGAAAGGCTAAGGAGCAAAGCTGCTGCCCTGCCTGCCAGGCTACTGGGGAAAAGGTGCATGGAGCATGTTTGGCTGTTGCCATGTGCATGCAGCCATAACCTCCTGCTAGGACTTCTCCCAGCCCCCTTGGCTTTCAGCATTTGAGACCCTGCCAGTCCTTCCTGAGATATATTATAGAGATGTCAGTAATGGAAAGGGCTCTGAATTATGCAGCTGATGATGTGTGCTGTTGGGGTGTTTTTAAGCTGCTAGTTTGCACACTCAGTCTAGTGCTCTTGCGTTGGAGCAGGGCACTCCAGCAATCCCTTTCACAAAGTCTCTTGTGATTCTCAAGTGGGAAAGCTCAGCAGTCACCTATGGTCCCTCCTCTTTGCATGAAGAATCAATTGAAGGAAACATCTTACACCTGTACACTTTAATACATAGCTATGTAACTCTCAGTCAAGTTTAAGTGGCCTAGAAGAGCTTGCTAGCCCACATGCATAATTGCAGGTGGAAAGCGGGCACCAAAAAGTTGTGCTGCAATAGCCCTGATTTTGCTGCTGGTATTATCATCATCTCCAGAAAACCCTTCTGTAATATGCCATTGCATTTTTTACAGCTGAAGTCCATCTGCCTTCTTCCTGACTTTTTCATGATTTAGCCTTAAAATGGTATCAGCTAAAGTTAATCTTACTGCAGAAACCAGTTACTTGTTGAAAGGATGGAATCTCAGTATGCAAGTCACACTTTTCAGGTCTCAGACCCTGCATGCAAGGATCAGTTTTCCCTGCTGATCAGTGTCATGCCTGTGAGGCAGCTTCTTCATCTGAGTTACGGGATCAGCCTCT